GGTATCCTTACAACTCACCCATATTTCCTTCTAGGTGGGACCATTTGGGGTTAGAGGGAAAAATGAGACATAACAGTAGAGCCAGGAGAGTTGGAAAAACAGATAAAATGATTGTCATTAATACCCAAGATATTGTTTCATATAGCGAAGGATTCCAAGGGATGGCTGAAAACTGAAAGGTTAATACTCTCAATTTCCATAAGCAAGTCAGAAATATGCCTTCACTCTAGCAGTGTGCTCCTTTTTTGAATGGCCCATGTTCTTCCAATATCCTGCCTCAAGTCCATTGTGAGAAGAGGGGACTCACTATTCCAAGACAAACCCTCTATTGGTATCTAGATCTCCGAGAAAAAAGAGATAGTGTCAGAGGCAGGGGGATCTCTTTTTGTTCGAGGCCAGCCTGGTCTACAAAGTGATTTCCAGGATAGTCAGAGCTACACAGTGAAATCCTGTCTAAAAAAAAAAATAAGAGAGAGAGACATAGAGTCACTGCCTTCATTGTCAGATGGGGACTCCATGAGTGGAAAAGGTGGTACAGTGATGTTTCTAGAAGGTCAGAAGTGAGGCAGACAGGATTTGAAGACAGTGCCTGATCTACAGTGTTCACCATTTTATTAGTAGTATAACCTCCACCATTTAGGTAGACACCTACTTGTTCCTGAAACCAAACTTTTACAGGAAGTTTAAGAATATTTTGCAAATGTCACAGACAAGAAGCAATGCATGTCACTTGGTGCTCTCTATATAAGGACTACACGAGAAAGATGTAGGGATACTGACGGATGGATACATGCATTCAGGCATATAGAAATACAAAACGGGGCTTTAAGGACTGGCAAGACTGTGAAATTGGCAAGCTTGAATATGATAGATCAGGCCTGCAGGTGGAACTGGAGGAAGTTTTTGTTATAGCCCCAAGGCAAAAGCCTTCTTTTATAGAAAAGCATAGATTTGCTTTTGCATTCTTCAAATAATTGACTATGTTATCAAGGATTAGCTCCTTTCCTTAATCACATGTATCAAATACTTGCATCTACCTTGATTTGTCTAAAGACAAATCAAGAGGACAGTTATGATACAATCAAATTTTTCTACAGACTCCAATACAAAACCTTTAAGTCTAGATTCATCAGTAGAAGGGGATGTATAAAGTGACTCAATCATTCAGTTTGTTGAGGCCATTTATAGAACTGAAGTCCTTTGTCTCCCAGACCAGATGGCTGGTCATCATACCTCTGCTTCTGGAAAGTTCTGTAGTCATTGTGTGACTCACCTTGCAGACAAGTGACAATAGCAGATTATTTTCCCCTGAGTCAGAGTGTCACAGCCAAGGTACAGTGCATCAACATAGCACATTGCAGCAGAGCCCAGGCCATAGTTACCATCCCACCCAACAGAAATTTTTAAAATGTGGACCCTACAACAACTATACTGCTGAAACAACTTACTAATGAGACCTTTTCAGGATCTCAAATCAAGGCATTCTGAGCTGAGTCTGATATGGTTGCCTAGGGAAAGAACTATACTTGTGGCAATTTGTGGAAATCTGCAGAAATCACTGCAGAACCAGATGTTATCTGTAGAGAAAAAGCGGGCTAGCCAGAGCCTATTTAAAAGCAATGCTGCTCATTGAGTCTGTTTGTTGTGTATTTTACGGTGTATCCATTAGTGTTTAGTTACAAGTTACAGAAACCAATTCAAGAACATAATTAAAGTAAAAACAAATCAAAGAGTGAGTATCTTCTAATGGAATCAAAGTAGAATTGGAAAGCCAGTGCAGTGATAAACTCTGGGCATCTCTGCAGCAAAAGATCCTGCAGAGCTTCCAAAATACAAGTCATTTGTGTTGTCTTCCAGGCTCTGTTTTTATGTAAATCCCAAGAGTGAGAAACATGTTTACTTCCCTTCAGTTGAGTGCATACCCTGGACAATATGTCCTGGGTTCAGTAGGGTTCAGGAAGCAGCTCTGGAGGCTACTGCTTTCTACAGGTCCTATAGAAAGGAGAACTAATTTTGAGTATGGTATTAAAAACAAGTGGTTTTTATGGTAGGAAGACCAAGAGCTCAGTCAGAAAGGGAGATTGCTGGGCAAGCTTGAGGACCTGAGTTTGATCTGAGAATCAGACGAGAAAGATGAATGTAGTAGTGTATTACCTGTCATCCCAGCACTGAAAAAAAAGAAGCAGGTTATCCCTGGAGCTGCTGACCTAAGCTATTGGCAAGCCCAATGAGACACAGTATTTCCAAAAACAAGGTAGACGGAGGAATATTACATTCTCCAAGGCTGAACTCTGACTTACACACAATGCACCCACACATATATAAGCACAATTATATATGAGTAACTGTGATTGTAATAGTAACTTGAGGCTTATATAGAGAAACCCATGTTTATATACCTATCCCCCTCAAAATTTTGCCCTCCCCACCTCTTACTCTGTTTTCATAAAATTTATATCTTAAAATAAGTAAAATAAGAGATCTTTGTCCTAAGACTTTTAGCATATTGAGTCATGTATGTCAGCATGTAGGCAGTGTGTAGCTGGCACATGATGGATTCTCAGTGGCTACTGGCTAAGTAGCAATCTCTCATGTCTTCAGGTTTCTTTTGCTGTGAATAGATGCCATGACCACAGCAACTTTTATAAAGGAAAATATTTAATTGGGTGACTAACAATTTCAGAGGTTTAGTCTGTTATCATTATGCTGGGATATGGAGGCATGCAGGGAGACATGGTGCCATGGTGCTGGAGAAGGAGCTGAGAGTTAATATGTCTTGATCTGCAGGCAACAGGAATTAAATTGAGACACTGGGCATATCTCAAAGCCTGCCCCAACAGTTACACACTTCCTCCAACAAGGCTATACCTACTCAAATATAAACCCACACCTCTTAATAGTGCTGCCCCAATAGGTAGGGGTCAATTACATTCAAACTACTACATATCCAAAATATCATTATGTCCCAGAGTCACAGGGTCCCAAAAATATTCTTTAGACTTAGACCTTTTTTTCTCATTCATGCACACATGCATACATACATAATTCGGTTCATAATTTTTTCTAGGAGGAAAGTAAATCTCTATGTGATATAGGTTTAAAATAAAACCATGACTATTAATATCTGGCCACAGAGGAAGGAATTGTAGACATTTGACAACTTTGTTTAGACAAACAAAGGGGAACAGAAAGAATAGTCTCAGAAATCTGTACTAGTCCATAGTCTTCCTCATTAATTACTATAAAGTTATGATTATGTACTTCTCAGCCCAGCATTTGCCCAGGTTAATGCAGTGACTAACTCATAATATAGCTTCTATTTGAACATCATCCCTGGTCCAGGCTTAAAAGTACAGGCTCAGAGTTTTGTTAAGTGAAATGGCTTCACATGACTACAAAGGTTGCTTCTCCCAGGATTCTACAAAATGCCTTCCAATGTATGCCATTTCCTCAGTCATCCCAAACTGCTTTTTTTCTATTGTGGACATAGACACAAAAGGCTCATGATTGTATCAAGATCCTGATGTCAGTGGTGTAACTCTTTTTTTAAAAAAAATAAATGTATATTTTATATTTCACTTTTCTTTAATAGTGGTAACAATGACAATAGCAAGTATTTAGCTCTTTGTGTGCACTAGTCACATTCTGAACGCATATGTCAGGTCAGTGTGCTTGGTACAGCAACACAGCAGGGTGGATTCTATGATTTTTTTTATTTATAATTTTTTATTTAATTTTATATAACAAAGTCCAATTAAATGAAAACAAACATTTATACACAATATTTGGGAATTTGGGCATCGTTCTTTCCAAACTACTTCCTGCTGGTAAGGGGCGCTGTTTTGGGGGATTTGAAGAAGATTCAGATATCCTAGCTGTAGTCTGTAGGGCTGTTTTGTCCAGCTGTTTTGAATGTAGGATCAGCTTGTACTCTGTTTCAGGCGGTCTGGCGTGATCAAACCACATTAGTCTGGAAGGAATCCACATCTTTTCATTTTCTGTGGAAACAAAAATAGAAATCCTTTTCCCCAGTAACTTGTTCTTCAAGTTAAATTTTGGAGTCAAAGCATTTTTTTTTAATTTATTATTTTACATGTCGATCCCAGTTCCCTCTCCCTCCCTCCCTCCCTCCCTAAGCTAAAATGAAGTACTAAGATCACAGTACATCAGGCCACAGGGTAAGACAGTTCTGAAGATGATAGTTTCTACTTTTACTACATTCCTTCCTCCTGCCAGGTGCACTACTTGGTGTGATTTCACTTCATGCATGATAACTCTAGGAGTCAGAAATTATTGTCACCGTTCTGGGAAGGAGAAACCTGAGGTAGCAAGAAGCTCAGGTATTTGTATTATAGGGCAACAAGACTCAAAGTAGCATTGCCAGGATTTAAATCCAGTCTGTATTTCTTAACAGCTTTATGCTGTACTGCTATTTCTAGAGCCTTAACCTTTTTCCAAGAGATTGTGTCTGAGCTGGGAGCCAACAGTCTAATGAGGAGCCAAGTCCTGAGGCATAGAAGACTGTGTGGGAATCAGTGAAGCTGAAGAACCCCTCCCAATAGTCCATCAGATTTCTGACTTACCTGCCCTAGTGCTGGCTAGGTAACCACATGTTGAGAGGGTTTCTACCTATTCTGCTTGCTCAGGATCAAGGCCACACCTGAGGTTGAGGAGTCTTTCCTCTCATTGGCTTTGTATCCCTGGTCTCCTATGGTTTGCAGTGTTATGGGTATAGTAGACACAAGTCCTTTAAGAATTCCCTCTTCAGTTCTTGGCTGTGATAGTAGTATACTTTGGAATTTTGTGGAAAATAGATCCTACCTCTACTGTCTAGCCTGCACTGGGTTAGCAATGATAACCTGTCATTTCCTCTATGTTCTCCCTATGAGTGATATGAATAATTGCTTAGCCTCTCTGTGCTGACCATCAGCTATCCTCACAAAGATGGGAACTGCTTTGACATCAAAGACATCCTATATCTCTATCTATTTCTCTTTCAGGAAGTCTGTTATCCAGCTTGACCTTGCCAACACCAAGAAAGCAATGATTGTCCCTGCATTTGAAACATTGCGCTACCGACTCTCTTTCCCCAAGTCAAAAGCAGAGCTACTGTCAATGTTGGACATGGGGACCCTGTTCACATTCAGGTGAGTGACCCTCATAGCAGTCATTTGGGGTTTCCAAAGGACCTCTGTCCCAGGATACCCAGATGTCAAAGATGATGGCAAAGGTTCAGTATCTCACATTAGTCTACTATAAAACAAACAATCCCCCCAAAAAGACTCTGTCTGTCATCTCCTCCTGACATATTGTTTACTTTGCTTTATACATGGGTGATAGGCACAGTGTCCAGATGCAGAGAGAGGCTTACTGGGACAAGAAGCCACACATTTATTTTCATACTTTAAAAGAAATGGCCAAGTCCATTTTTGTCCTTCTCACTATCTCTTGGCTCAGAATTTTGTTTTTGGTTTCATGGCAGTGTGCTCTACAGGAACAGAACTAATAAAATGAATATATATTTTAAAGGAATTAATTATTTTACCATATGCAATATAATCAGATTGGTCCAACAATGGCTGTCTCTATGGAAAAAGCCAAGAATCTAGTGCTTGTCCAGTTCAGGCAGGGCTGAGTACCACAGCAATACCAATCTTATGCCAAGGACCTGTTATATTCTTGCCCTTTTAGTACACATTGGAAGCCTGAAGAAGCTGGTTGTAATATCACAGAAGGAGCTGGTGATGGAGGCAGCAATAGGGTAGATAAATTTGTCAGCAAGAGTGAAAGCCAAGTGAGAAAAATCTTTCCTTCTTCAGGTCTGGCTACTACCAGAATGTGACACCCATATTTAGGGAAGGTCTTCCAATACAGACATTCCTGCAGGCCACCCCAATGTGTAAAACCCCTCCCTTGAGATATCCTTGTGTCAAGTTGACAATTAAAACCATCACAGTGTGCATTGTTGCTCTTGGTAAGTGGGTTTCTCTCTCATATTCCTGGTGGAATTTCTTCCTTTTTCTTTTCCTTTTTCCTTCTTTTGTGTATTGTGAGAGAGTGAGTAGTCTAATCTCTTAAGCTCTTGTGGCATGGAGCAGGCATCTACAATTCATAATCTAAAACTTAAGGTAATCAATGGGACTCCAGAGTTGCACACAACTTATGTAAGATCCAACACTTCTTAGTAACCATCTTTCCTAACCCCTTTCTGTTGCTCCTATTATAGCTTCATTTCACTCCTTGCATTCACCTTCCCCATAACTTAGAGTAGCAAAGTCCCACTGCATTCACTAGTTTGTCTCCCAGACACATATCAAGTTTTAAAATATTCATCTACTATTTTCAAAGTGTACTCATTCACATCATGAAATTGGATGCACAATTGAGAACAGATCATCAACCTAGATCACTAGGTTGGAGGAGAGAACCCTGGATCTTAGAGCTGAAAGGAAATCTTTTGAGATGAGTTGGGAAAGAGAAACCTGAGAAGGTATGTGGTACATTCAGGGGCACAGAGTGTCAACAGAGTCCTAATCTTCAGAGCTTTAAGCCTCAACCCCTTTGCTCCTTCTACTCTTATATATGAGCATTGATGGCAGTGGCACACAAGCTGGCCTTTGGGCTAGGCTACCTGGGCTTCATTACTGTTTGCCATCCATCATTGGGTACATTTTTAGAATTTAAAACAGTATGTACCTACAGCATCTAAAATAGTCCCAACCAATAGTAAATGTCTAACAAATATAATTTTATGATTATTGTACAATTTACCACAAACACACTATAAAGCAGCACAGATTCACAACCTCACCATCTCTGACAGCATGGAAAGAGTAGCCTGCTCTCTGCCCAGGATATCACTGGATGGAAAGCAGATATCTGGAGAAATACATGATCCTCTTCCTGATGGCTGGATGCTTATAGTACTTTTTCCTTTCTTCCCATAGGGCAAGATCTTCATCCTAGCTTTTGGACATGTACCCCCATTAGCTCCTGGCTCCTCCCTCTTTGTACCCTAATTTCATAAACAACTCACGGCATGACTCTTTCCTTCCTTCCAGATCTGAAGGATCATGAGTCATATCAGACCTACCTTGGTAATCTCAATTTTCATTAATACAGAGGCACTTGCTTAATAAGCTTTATAATATCTATAAAACTCCACTCTTGCCACAGGGTATAATGTAACCAAATGGGTAGCTTACTCATAGGTTCTGCCCCATCTCTGAGGATCAAGTAGGATCACCTGATCACCAATGTCCCCTGGTGGGAATTACCAGATAGAGATCCCATGGAAATTATGTCAAGTGCTTGGAAGTTCACTAACCTTTCTATAGAGTCTTCTCTTTAGTGACAGGTAACTCTTAGAAAACTGCATTAGACTTCCAAGGCTCCTGAAACAAAACACTGCAAAATAGGTGTTAACACCTATTGAACTTAACACAATAGTTCATTATTATTTAACAATTTTTCAAGTCAGAAGTCCAAATTAAAAGTCCTTAATAGGCCTGTGGTTTTCCAAAAGCTTGTTCCTCCCTGCCTTTTTTCTGGTGATGGCCAGCAACCCTTGATATTTCTTGTTTCTTGATGAGTTTGTCATCCTAAGCTCCATTTGCATCTGCACATCTCAGTGTGTATCTATGTCTCCAAATCTCCCTCTTGTTAAAGGACGTCAGATTAAGTCCCACCCTGATTTTAGCTAAAGTATGCCTATAACGGTCTGGTTTCCTACCATGTTACATTTACAGGGACTAAACATTTGAATTTGAATGATTGTTTTGCAGGGTCACGGTGCATCCCACCTGGAAGATCATATTAAAATGCATTTCTTCTTCCTCCACATCACTAGGGTTTTGAAGGCTCAGCTTCCATCCCTTGACTCATTGGCTTTTCTCTACATTTCCCAGGTACCATGTCTGGACTAAAGGCCATGCACCCACAAACTTTGCCAAGTGGCGGACTGCCACCATGCCTTACCGGGTTGAGTGGGAGGCTGATTTTGAACCGTATGTTGTTGTGAGACGAGACTGCTCTGAGTATGATCGAAGATTTGTGGGCTTTGGCTGGAACAAAGTGGCTCATATCATGGAATTGGATGCACAGGTAAGAAGAGAAACCCGGACTAGTACTATGCAGGGAAGGAGAGAGATACAGATATTAGAAGTGAAAGAGAACCTTGGGGATAAGAAGATTAAAAAGGACCTTCATAGAAATGACATTATGTTCAGAAACTAAGAATGACAACAAGAATCTGGTTTTCTAGGCTTTCAAACTCAAACTTTTGTTTCTTCTTCTCCTTGTGCATGGAACTGGGTTCTTGGCCAGGATTAGGCACACGTGAGTCTCCTATAATGCATAATCTTATCCCCTCTATTCAGTGACAAAGACTAGCACAAGATAACTAGTTATGACTTGGCCTCCAAATTGTATAATTGTATCACTGTAAATAGCACAAAATGGACCACTAAAATTTGGCTAATCATTCTACCCTGCAATTAAAACAATAGTGATTTTAATACTGTGTTCAGTCTAAAAGTCATTCTCATAATACTTAACAAATATATACTTCAGAAGAAGTCTGCAGAATTTTAACAGGTGAAGCCCAGGTAATGCACAAAGCATGGCCATCCATTGTTACCCATGTTATGACCAACATACCTGCTTAGAGATGATGAGCCCTGGTACAGTGGTATTTCTGAGCCCAGCAATTTTGTGTAGTGACCTTTAAAAGAAAAGTTCATTTTACCCATCATCAAAGCATGGCCTTTGCTTTATACTGTTTCACAGTGCATTTTGCAAATGGATCATATACTTTCATATTGCAAATGGATCATATACTTGCCTGTAGCATTCATCAGACAAAATTGTACCCATTCTAATGACTTAAGGAAGTGAAACACTTGTCAAGAGGTGGTGGTACATGCCTAACCCCAGCACTTGAGAAGCAGAGGCAGATGGATCTCTGGGGATTTGAGATCAGCCTGATCTACAGAGATAATACCACAACAGGTTCCAAAGCTATAGAGAAACCCTTTCTCAAAAAAAGGCTAAAGAAAACAAAAAGTAAAACACTCCCAGCTGACAGGTCACAGAACCCTAGCTGTGGGGGATGATGAGAGGGGTTAGTCCACTTTGTCCATGTTTAAAATGCCTCAGCCATTTGAGCTATATAGTCTTGACTTTTCTCACTTCACTGTCAGTTGACGTATTCTGCCTGTCTCATCTGCCTTTCCTGTTCTCAGTTTGTTTTGTTGAGTTTATTCTTGTCTGTTCTGGGCAGAGAAAATAGATGACATGAATCCACAATTGGAGTAAACACATGGAGTATTCATGTCCTGGGTGGGTTCTGTCTGAATTACATGTCCTAAAGTTGTGTTCCTTGTTTGGGCAGTTCAGAGAGAGGCATTGTGTATTTGTCTGTCTCCAGCATATGAAGCATATTCTATGATATTTTCACTTACAATATGTTGGGGAAAGTTTAACCCTTATTAAACTTCAACACAGCTTAACATTTTGGTCTTTTATCTAGGTATTTAATTATTTGTTTGTCTATTTATTTTTTAAGACAGAATCTTACACTACATCTTAAACTTGTCTGGAAGTTACTATATAAACCAGGTTGGCCTGGAATCTGTGGTAGTCTTCTCATACAGGCTTCCCAAATACTGGTCACAGACATGAGCTTAAACATTTTCTCATATTTCAGTTCACTGACCCACAGAATATTACATGGTAGCATCATTCCAGAGTGACTGTGGGGTATATGGAGAACCTCTGGAATAGGCATGTGTTCTGTTCCCCTCTTTCCATACAGTATGAGTTTCACCCTCATAATCATCCTTCAAGGTAGATTTTTCTCACTCTTACTTTGTAGATGAGCAAACCAAAATGCAGATGATTCCTATATTTTTGTACAAGTTTATAGGCATAGCTACTCTGGAGCTATTGTGCCCTCCTGTCAGTGTTATTCTCCAGTCCCTTGATTCAAAGTCATATATGACCCAAAGCTCTTAAGATCTCTCATTTCCCTTGTCTTCCTCCTTCCAGGAGTATGAGTTCACCGTGTTGCCCAATGCCTACATGATCCACATGCCCCATGCCCCCAGTTTCGACATCACTAAGTTTCGTTCAAACAAGCAATACCGCATCTGTCTGAAAACCCTGAAGGAAGAGTTTCAACAGGACATGTCCAGACGCTATGGCTTTGCTGCCCTGAAATATCTCACGGCTGAGAACAACAGCTAGCACTATGAAAGGCCACAACTAGAGAGAGACATGCTACAGGAGAAGAGCCACTTTCTGCCCAGGCCCCAGCCTTTGAAGACAAAATTCATCTTTGGTTTATTTTCCTTTGTCTCTATGGTGCCACAAACCTGCTTTCTTCTGAGATTTTGGACAGGGACCCACCCAATCCATCACCATGAGGTACTTCCAGAATGGGTCACAAAAGGATGGAAGCAAATGAAAAGTTAACAACTTAACCACAATGCCACAGACCAAATCAGGGTTTCTGGATACTCTCCTTGCTTTTTAATAATTATGATTCTAATGCTAGCTGTGGAGAAAGAAGTCACTGTTCTAGGAATTAGTCACTCCAATAAATAAGAGCAAGCTATTTCTTCCTAGGAAGAGAACTTTATTTTCCCTACTCAAGTGGAGAGCTAGCCAAGGACCCAGACAGCCACCTGGAGACCTGCATAGGGACTTTATATATGTAAGGTCCTAGGAGTAGGGTGAATTTTTTTCTTTATTATCAAAGTCTCTCTTGTTTTGTTTTGAGTTGTTTGAATTTGAGGGGTTTTATTCATTTGATCTAGAATTCCAATCTAAACATCTAATCATTAAAGTTCTAAAGAAAACATCAGCTCCCTCAACCAACACTCCTGTCAACAAAGATGAGCATCCTCAGAGCATGTTCTCACATGGGCAGATTTCTTCAGGATGAACACTGAGACTCCCTGATGCAGAGCCATGGCTATGAAAGGAACTGAGAAATATGAGGCCAAACACTGTATGCAAATCACATTTTCTATGAACTAAGTCAAAAGGAAAGGAATTCAAGGAACTGTTTCACTACTCATGAAGGTTTGATTCTCCTCTCAGACCTTTAGAAGAACTTGAATAGTTCATAGAAGACCAACCAGAAGACTTGTTTGACCGCATGGAAGCCACTGGAAGAAAGGGGTCAGGCACCTCCCTGTTGGAAGCGGGGGGGGGGGTGACCTTAGTTGTCCCCCAGGACATGTCTGAGGGTTGGTAAGCACCTCTTCATTTTGCAGATGGAGAAAACTGAACTTTTTACCCATTTTCTTTACTCTTCACTATTAATGTTGTGTTTACATTGATAAGAACAACAGTCAATGGCCAACCTACTACTGGCCTGTTTGTATTGAGTTGCCATGTGACCAGCAAAAGCTGCATTTAATAAATGAAAGTACAGATTGTCTCTTCCTCCTCTTCCCATACTTGAAAGAAGCCACATGGCTTGGTCTACAGGGCAAAATCAATTCCATGCACAACATCTGTCTCTATTATTCCATCTCACCTTTCTCATTGTTTGGAATGTCACCTTTTTTTCAGTGTTCAAGGTTAGATCTCACTTTCTCCTCTAACCTTCAACTAATTTTCAAAATTTCCATTTTTTCACCTGTGTCACCACTATAGCTAGATGCTTTATATAATAAGTATGCAAAATGAATAGCCTATTCTTAGGGCTCTTTTGTTCTGTGAGCAGAACAGTCCATGAGGCCACTATATTCAGTGTATTCAATGGTGTTTCCTCTCGATTAGGACACAATGAAGAAAAATGTAATTAGAATTGCCATACAAATATAGATAAGTTTGTGCCTTTGTGCCTTTATTAGTTACTTCTCATGTTACTAGATAATCTCTCTCAGACATATTTAGAGGTTTGTCTCCTAGTTTATTCTCCTAGTTGATTCTAGTTCTTGTCAAGATGACGGTTATTAGCTATCACATTATATGTACACACACACACACACACACACACACATATATATATATATATACATACATATATATGGAAGTATCTGCACATATGTAGCATAATTTATCATTACCAAAGTAATGCATGAACACTATAAAAAGAAAACAATAAAAAGGTGTTCAAAGACATGTTAAATTCAGTTTCTGCACCCATCAACCATAGGGTCACAGAATTTACTGTGCCCATCTCACTCCAGTTGTCTTGTTCAGTGACCCCCCCCAATTCCATGATTGGCTATTAAATATTTACCTTCATCACTCAATGTGTTTTCCCTTCACCCCACATACCTAGAAGCACACATAAATTATGCTCTTTTCTCCCAGATTAGCCACTGCAGGTATATTGATTTGAACTAGTCATTTTCAGCTACTGGAGCCAAGCTGAGATTACTTGGCAACACTTGTTCTCAACATCAAACATCAAATTTTAATTCCCTAAAGTGTTTCCTTAAAAATTTATCCTAGAACACGAATTTTGATCAGGCACCTTGTTTCCATTTGCATGTTTACAGGAATAGCCAATGACCATATAATTTATTAGCCAAGCAGGGTCACTCCTGAGAATGAAAGATGCTAATTACTTTGATATAATACCCATAAACTGGAAGATGATGAAATTTCATGTTCATAGAATCTATTAAAACCAGAAGCTGACATTCCATACCATCATCCTGTTTCCTCATATATAGAGCTAAAAAGTTTGTTTAATTCAACCAAATTTGACGCAAAAGTTTACAATTAATGGAAATTGATGTACGTGGAGCCAACAATATGAGTCCCCAGTGGGTACTTCAGGAAGTGCCACTTGGTGCTAGCACTGGCCTGTATGTGGGGAACATAGCCATTTGAGCCAATGTAATTGTCATGGATGATAATTCCTTTGTATTAGTTTCCTGGGATCAATCAAAGTTAGAAATGATCATTCTGATGTCATGCCAATACTGTCATGCCAGTACAGTTGACAGGAAAGGCATGTTCTTTCATTAGCTCCATAATGCTCAGTGTCTAGGAGAATTGCTTTTAAATAATAAGCCACTGTGTGCAAGAACCTTTAGTATATGCATTAGCTCATTGAGCAGATATATATATATATATATATATATATATATATATATACACACACACACACACACACACACACACACACACACACTCATAGTAGGCATTACCGATTATCACTGAGGAGACAGAGTATACATACTCAAATTCTTCCCCTCAATTACTAGGATCCAGATATCATGAAGCCAGATTTGAAAGTCAGTTCTACTTACTTAATCCAAAATGACATAACCTACAATACTACTGGTGCCTCTTCCAATAAGAAATAGCTAAATAAATATGGACTGGAAAAGGGGGAGGAGGAATTTGAACCTGTTAGGGAAAATTAACCTTCCTCCTTCAATATCCATCCAACAACACAAAGCGTGAAATCAGACACTCTACTACTTTCCAAAGCTAGCTGTGCCCATGGACCTCCTAAAACTATGTGAAATAGGCCTGGTCAGTCTGTAACCATATGTAAACAGTTTGGTTCAACCTTAGGGGATATAAACTGACTCTCTAAATGCTAAGTGACTCAGGTAAAAGTATGGAGTTTTAAGATACCTCATGAACCTCAGGCCTGCAAGTTATTTCAAAGTAACATCGGTAAGTATGTCAAGTTGACTTATAAAACACATGTTGACTGAGTTGACAGATTCTGAGTTAAGGCTGTGTTTTTTGTTACCAGACCTTTAGGAAGTTATGTGATGGTAGAGAAACATGATAAAAATTTCCTCCTAGATGGAGTCTCTGCATACTACTAACAAAGATGATAAGTTAAGAGCCATGTTACTGATTCCAAACTTCAGTTTTAGTTGGCATTACTGGATCTTGACAACCATGCTGTCCCGCGCTACCGTCTCGCCAGCAAGAACAACGCGGCACACTCAGGATCCTTCTGCAGTAAAGCTTTAATGCATCTTGAGAGGGAGAGCATAAGCTTACAGAGCAGAGACCCCAAACATCCAAAACCCAACCCTTATATGGTTTACAACCTTCGCCTGGGACGTGTCACCTCCTGATTGGCTGCAGCCCATCGGCCCATATGACGCCACGGGAGAGGCAGAGGCCAAGGGAGGGAAAATCACCCTGCACCTGCGCACTGACTTGTTTACTCTCAATGCCAGCCGGATGCAGGCGCCATCTTGTAATGGAGAACGCAGGGACTGCTCCCTACACCATGCTATATCATAATCACTCTTACTTAGCTGGTAGAGATATACCTTAGAAAATTTACATGATCTTCCCAAGATCCCATAGAAAATATTCAATGCTTTGAGATTAGAACAAAATCTGACTGCCTTCAAAAACCTGTGTTTTGGCACTAATACATACCTTTCCATGTGATGTTGTAGATATAGTCATAATTACTTGTAGGTCATTGTGACATGCTTAGTTCTTGCTTTCTTTTAATCTTAAGATTCAAGTTTTCAGTTTAATGCCACTAGTATTTATGAAAATTCACAATTATCTAGAGAATCTCAGAGGTTTCAGACCTTAGGATCTGATGTTGGAAATATCATGGGCTTTGTTTTAATTCACTAAACAGAAAACATTCTCAGTAAGAGACATTTTGCCTCTAAGACTGACTGATAGTATCTGAAAGAAAGTAATGAATGAGCTTCTGATTGTGGATTTGGTCATTGATTTGTTCTGACATATTCAGATGGTCTCCATGGGCACTATAGTTTCCAAGGTAAAAGAGTACCATCATTTCTGGAAAAGAATTTCCTCATAGGATACATCACTAATTTTTTTTCTTTACTGCCAGACAGTGAAAGTGGTTGATGAAGTGCCTCGTGTGTGGGAATGGATGTTTATTGATTTCATGAAGCTACTTTATATGGATAGGAACTACACTGAATAACAAAGGCAATAGTAAGTCTGCAGCTATGAAGTAGGAGAGAACACATAAGCTGAGTGATAGACATGTTTTTATCATATCTATATCAAAAGCATATGGCAGGAATTATGTCCATTGTAAAGGTAGGGAAACAAATGCTCAGATTAGCTAATTAAGAGTTCTGACAATCAATCCTAGACCTCTGTCTCCCAGGTCCATATTTCTATTATTCAATTTCCTGATGATTCAGACAAATACAAGATTATAAAATCTTAATAAGCAGAAAATGCCTAGCCATTGGGAATTGATCTTGTCTTTCACTCTCCACTAGTATTCTTTAAATATTCCTGTATGTAAGAATAACATTGAGGGTCTCATCAGTATCATCAGTAGATCCCAAGAGCCTATATTTCTAACATTTCTAACATAGAACATGTGAGCTATATAAACACAGTACCTAAATATATACATATACATATATATATATATATATATATATATATATATATATATATATTTGACCTTAAATTGTATCAATAAATGAAAATCCATTCCAAAACAAAGTAATCCCTTTTTTACCTTTAAAAAAAATTGGTTATGATCATTAACCATTTATAACCAACCCATTTAAATGAAAACAAACATTTACAAACAATATTTGGGAATTTGGGCATCATTCTTTCCAAACTGTTTCCTGCTGGTAGGGGGTGCTGTCATGCGGATCCTAAGAAGATGCAGAAATCTTGGCTGTAGTATTCAAGGCTACCTTGTCCCAACTGTTTTGAATGTTGGATCATCTGGGGCACTGTTTCAGGGGGCCTTGATTGATCAAACCACATTAGTCTGGCAGGAATCCACAGCTTTTCATTTTCTGTGGAAACAAATATAAAAATCCTTTTCCCCAGTAATCTGTCCTTAGACTAAAATTTTGGAGTCAAAGCATTTAAATATATATATATAAATAGAATTAATCAAGCAGTATTTAATAGTTATTTCCTCAACAGTCGAACAATTTAAAGATAAGCATATAATATCCAAAGTTTCTCTGTGCTTTCCATCTTTACATGGCTTTTTTATTACTCTTTCTTCTACTTCTATTTTGTCATTTTTTGAGACAGGGTTTCTCTGTGTAACTTTTATCTGTCCTGGAATTAACTCTGTATACCAGGTTTACACTCAGCTTCTCTGTCTTTTTTAAAACCATTTTATTCTTTTTATCTCCCAAGCCTATGCATATTTTGAAACACACTGTAAGCCTTTAGTGGTTTCTGTCTTTAGTGAATCTGTCTTCACTGTAAATCTTTATCTTTTTGTGGCCACGAGTCTTTTATTTACCAAACAACATTCCTAAAATGAAAGCCACAGCTATATTAGCCATGGTCTATCAAAGATGGCGGCAGGTATTTTACCGCCAGAACTGAGAACTGTGCTCACTGCCTTGGTTTATGCTGCCATCCAGCAGCATGTTGCCAGCTTGGAGATGTGGTCACTGCCATTGCCAGGTCCCGTACACACCAATGAGTTGTTATCAGTGCTTCTTAAAAGCCATGCTTTTTTTTT